TTGGATAGCGAGAGCTTTCTCCAGGTATTCTCGGGCCTTGTCGTATTTGCCAAGTGATTGGAAGACTGTTCCGAGGCCCCCGTAGCTTGCTGCCTCTCCATTTCTGTCACCAGTTTCTATTTGAATAGCGAGAGCTTTTTCTAGGTATTCTCGGGCCTTGTCGTATTTGCTAAGCGACTGGAACACTTTTCCGAGGCTCCCATAGATTGTTGCCTCGCCATGTCTGTCGCCATTTTCTATTTTGATAGCGAGAGCTTTCTCCAGGTATTCTCGGGCCTTGTCGTATTTGCCAAGCGATTCCAACAGTGTTCCGAGGTTCGTGTAGCCTGTTGCCTCTCCATTTCTGTCGCCAATTTCTATTTTGATAGCGAGAGCTTTCTCCAGGTATTCTCGGGCCTTGTCGTATTTGCCAAGCGATATGAACACTGTTCCGAGGTTCGTGTAGCTTGTTGCCTCTCCATTTCTGTCGCCATTTTCTATTTTGATAGAGAGAGCTTTCTCCAGGTATTCTCGGGCCTTGTCATATTTGTAAAGCGACATGAACAGTATTCCAATGTTTGCGTAGCTTTTTGCCTCTCCATTTCTGTGGCCAATTTCTGTTTGGATAGCGAGAGCTTTCTCCAGGTATTCTCGGGCCTTTTCGTATTTGCCAAGTGATTGGAAGACTGTTCCGAGGCCCCCGTAGCTTTTTGCCTCTCCATGACTGTCGCCAATTTCTATTTGGATAGCGAGAGCTTTCTCCAGGTATTCTCGGGCCTTGTCGTATTTGTCAAGCGACTGGAACACTGTTCCGAGGTTCGTGTAGTTTGTTGCCTCTCCATTTCTGTCGCCAATTTCTATTTGGATAGCGAGAGCTTTCTCCAGGTATTGTCGGGCCTTGTCGTATTTGCCAAGCAATATCAACACTATTCCGAGGTTCGTGTAGCTTGTTGCCTCTCCATGTCTGTCGCCATTTTCTATTTGGATAGCGAGAGCTTTCTCCAGGGATTCTCGGGCCTTGTCGTATTTGCCAAGCCGTTGGAACACTATTCCGAGGTTCCCATAGATTGCTGCCTCTCCATGTCTGTCGCCATTTTCTATTTGGATAGCGAGAGCTTTCTCCAGGTATTCTCGGGCCTTGTCGTATTTGCCAAGCGACTGGAACAGTGTTCCGAGGCTCCCATAGATTGTTGCCTCTCCACTTCTGTCGCCAATTTCTATTTGGATAGCGAGAGCTTTCTCCAGGTATTCTCGGGCCGTGTCATATTTGCCAAGCGACATGAACAGTATTCCAATTCTCGCGTAGCTTGTTGCTTCTCCATTTCTGTCGCCAATTTTTATTTGGATAGCGAGTGCCATCTTCAAATATTCTTTCCCTTTGTTATATTCTCTTAAGGAACACAGAAGCACTCCTAGTCTTCTATAACACTCTGCTTCTTTTTGTCTGTTTCCGGTCATTTTCATGACATTTATTGCTAATTCACAAAATTTCTTTTCCTCTTCAGGGTGAAGTAAAAGTTTCTCGAGGTATTCTTCAATACCTGGTGAATTGCAAAGAGTGAGCCACGCCCTTTTCACTCTGGTGCGGATGCGTTCGTCAAATGACTTGGCAACTGGACTGTCCGCGCTTAAATCACCGTTGTTTAATAAAATCAAACTTTCTTGACACAACTCGATGGCTTTCAAGGCAAAACCAGTGTTGAGAAGGAAAATGGCGACAGTTACACCTATTTTGATAGCTAACGTGGTAAATTCCTCTTCTGTGTCTTTCATATCAGTATGGCTTTGATCACTGTAAGTTTGGAAAAAAAAAGTAGATCAAGCATATGACACTCGAAAGTTTCTGTACAAGGGTTCATGGGTGCGAACTTTTTCAGGAATCGTAGTTTTCTCATCCCGACGGAGGTCCTACCCTGTATTGAAATGAAGCGTTTACGAGACTGGAACCAGTATGAGTGTGATTGCACTTTCTGCTTCATCTCACAAAAATCTAATTTTTATTTAATGATTGCGCCATTCGTGTTAGAACGTTTTGCTGGAATGAAGTAGGTTGATACCAAGTTTTTTTTGTTACTCCATAGATAGCCTATAACATTTGGTACATAGGGTTCCTTATCTTAACCTGCTTAGTTTCCACTTCGGTATTTGTCAAATTTTGTTAAATCACTCGATGTGTAGTTACAGATCTAATTGGATTCTTCTTCGACTCTTTTCATTTCATCAGGAATCCTCGTGATCTTACGTAATAAATCCAATTTTGTGTTTTTTTGTGAGTGTTTCTACAAAGAAACACACCGAGGAAATTTATTACTGTTGTTCCACAGGCGAGGTGTTCATAACACTGTCACGCACATCATTGAGATGCTTATTACGATGTCACACAAATATTTAAACTTATTGTTTGAAGCTAGATATGTTTCGCGTTCATTTTGATACGAGCGAGGGTACCTGAATGAAATTTTCCCCGGAAAAATGAAAAAACCTTTGTCACATACTCTTGTTCACAGTTTTCAGTTTCCTTCAAATCACCACAAATTGGAACTACAAGCGGTAGATAATGGGGGGGGGGGGGGGGGGGGGGGGGGGGGGGGGGGGGGGGGGGGGGGGGGGGGGGGGGCGTCCAAGGAGTCAATCAGTTGCATTTCCTGCCCCACATTTTATGATTGTAAAACATTCAGTCAGTCATAACTTATAAATACCATACCATTTAAAGACAGAAACTTCAATTGTGCTGTGATCGATCTTGTGATGAACATCCAACCGTTAAAACGCAATGAACACTAGGGGCTGACGTTTCCTGTAAAACAAAGTACATTATTTCATTTTGCATGCTTATATCCATCAACGTTTATCAAAGTTAGACTAACAAAACCGAAATACAAATACCTAAACCGGAGAACTTGAAGTTTGGAGAAGTGTGCTGAAATTTTCTTTTTCTTCCACCAGGATAAACACTTTCAAGGATAACATTAGGTAAAATAATCGTTTCAGAGGAACTCACACTATTAACTTCATCCGTTTTGCTTATATAGTAATTTACATAGTGTCTTTGTTGGTCTTTGTTATTGATGATGCAAATCACACTCATTAGAAAATGAAAAGTTCACCAGTAAAGAGTCGATCCTCACACCCAAACACTGTAAAATACACTATTTAATTGAACTGTGATCGATCTCGTGATGAAAATCCAACCGTTTAAAAGCAATGAACACTTA